GAGGAAGACCAAAAGGATGGCCTCCAAGATCAACTAATCTGTCTCTCTTGGATTTCTTTCTGTGGACATATATAAAGTGAAAAGTTTATTCCCGAAAATTCAAAACGATCGAGAAGCTAAAGCAGAGTATCGTCGCGCAGTGCGAAAGTATTACAAAGTGGAAGAAAACTATCTTCGCCGTATTTTGCTATGCGAGCAGCAGGATGAAAAACCTTTTGAACAACTTTTATAAAATAAATATGCATCTTCCCATAATATTTGTGCTTGCTTTCTTTCGGAGTTCTATCTCATCCGTAGTTAGCAAGATCGTTCAACGCGAAAAAGCCAGTTAATAAAACTCCAAGAAGAGTTTTGCGCTGACCTATATTAGTGGATATTGTAGTCCGTACATGAGACAAATTTAGTTATCATGATTATCCGTTTACCGAACGAGCTTAGAAAAACAGTACGTGTATCTTAGACAAGTCAAACGTTGACCCGTGTCGTCATCGCTCAAACTTTTTCCATTTCGAATTTCCCACATGATGCATCGTTCCACAATTGATTCTACTGTGGTGATACTCTACCAACACTTAAGCATCATCGAATTCATTGCTTATCCGCCGCCTATGCCGGCCCCTAAGATCACACGACCGATCGGGTTCATTTGTCGATCAGTCGGATAGCTCAACCGCAAAAAGGGACCTGGTGCTTGCCCAGCTAACCCGAGCTGGAAACCGCACCTTGTTTACAGCCGCGAGTCTTAGACAGGCCCAGTGAACTTCGACTGTACAGCAGGCGTACCTTCATCACACGGACGGACTAAATGTGACAACAAGAGCATCATCAAAAGTAAAATACAATGTGAAACGACGGAGCAAACGCACTATCGAACTATCCACATAGCAACATGACATCTTAAATTGATATTCGGACATCTTGAAGAGACTCGAAACTGAAAGAGGCTGAGTATGGGATGCAATGTACTAATATTAGGCTGGGGGCATCATAAAAGATTTCCATTTCTACGATACATAAAGGCTACGCGAGACAGTATATTCGATTCCGTTATAAGTAAACAGTAAACAGTTATAAACATTGGGAACAAGTAACGAAATTGACGCACTACTCATCGATCCAGTTCATTTTTTCACAAAACTCCCAACCGACTTTCTATGCTACTTAATAACATCTACTACTGGCTAACATGCTATGTCGCAGATCCTGTAATTTACCCACTTTTTGAATTCCTGAGGGGTTCGAAATAGCAAGAGACTGAGTGTAGCTGATTTGAGGAACGATATGGACTATTATGCTATGCGAAAATCGTACCGCTCCGAATTATTCTCCTTTAAACTGTCCGCGGAGGCAGAACGCATAATTTTGTAGAAGTTCCGATTGTTGATGACGCGCCACTGGCACCGTTTCACGTGTGAACTATATTTTACCCGATAACGACACCACCTACGACGAATTACTTTGTGTTCGTACTACAATTTCATGGGCAATATTTTTACCAATGACTCTGGTACAGTAGCCACAGGGATCATCACGAAAGAGGCATCCACGGGTTAAGTAAACTGATCATCAAAAAGGAAACGAGTAATCGCGCACCTCTTTGGCAAACTGTAGTGGTAGCTTCATTTGCTGTTTCGTGCTTGCCGGTTCCGGTTTGCGTCTATGTTGCCTTAAGTTCATAAATCGTTCATCATAATTGAATGCTAATAACATTTCCTGTCAATTATATGCAATTATGTAGTGAATGCCGTCGTGAAAAGAGCGAATGAAGCGTGGTTTGAGAACATGGAAAGCACTNACTGTACAGCTGTGTCGATCTGTTTGGGTCTCATCAGCAGCGCCAATGCGTCGACCCGGGACTTCACAGGCAGAACGCAGGCATGCTACCTACTTGACCACCGGGAAGACCAGTTTTTACTTTGAATATACACCGTATGGCACAACACATCTTTGTGAACTTAATGCGGGCATTACACCACGCTCATCACAGTATTCCCAGTTTTTCAGTTCAGTTACTGTTTACACGGTAGAATTTACTACGTAATCGAATCACTTCATCCATCACTATCTGTAAATATGTTTGATACAAACTGGGTTTTAATTCATTGGAATCAGAAGATGGTTACATTGTAGTTGTTGATTTTCAGCCCACTTAATGACGAGCTCGGTAAAATAATCCATTTATTAGTTTTATAAAGCGCGACCCTACGGAGGCCCGTAAATTTGAACCATGTTTGCATAGAAAAAGCTAGGGGCATTGATGACCATTAGCTTCAGCTTTAGGAAGCTTGTGTCGACCTCTTTTCAGTCAGAGAGGTGGAAAGTACTCCATCAAATCTGCCCCAAGGTCACAACACATTTCCAGTTCCCTCACACATAACCACTCATATTTGTTAGACAGAAATAACTTATGAACGATATTTGTGCACTGAATAAATAGCAAAATTGACGAATGCACTTTAATTTCGGATTAACTCATTCGGTTTTTCACAGGCACCAGGCACTGTTGATGACTTTGGTTGTGGATTTCACTCCTTGGAAGATCGTTGATTTCCCACTGCTTGTATGCATTTAAAAGTGATGGAGATGTTTGTGATAACCAACAAAGAGCACTGGACAGCTGTTGCGTCCTCTTTGGGACTCGTCAGCAGTGTGTACTTTTTGTATCCCTGTCAGGACTCGAACCGCCATTCTTCGGGCTGGGACTTCGAACCCTTACCATTGAGCCTCACAGTCGACATGGATAAACAACTTTGAAGAAAATTGAATCCACTGAATCCATTTGATCAATACCCACTCTATTACGCTTATCAAACCATTATTATGTAATGACAATGATGGCAGCAATTGCGGAGTTGGTTAATCGGTTGAATCGATGCATCAAAACTGGTTCAATGTCAGAACTGCTCCTTTTGGAAGGATTCAACAGCGTATCCGCACTGTGTGTGCCTGGTGCCTGTGAAAAACCGAATGGGCTAATCCAAACATTCACGAACTTTAATTTCCTTCATATCCACAACTGGTCGATACAATCGAACAACCAGATTCGGAAATCGTTCGAAAAGTAAATCAAGATCACAATCGAATTGAAGACGCTTGTGCCTTGTAAAGAACAGACGTTACTTTTACATGATTACTCTCGACATAGATCACCTAATATTCCTGGTGGAAAGGAATTCGTTTGCTTCGACACGGTGACCTTTTAGAAGCCACAATATAAAGAACTCATCAAAGATAAAACGTAAAACTCGGATAATTAATTGGGCAACATGACAACAGCAACCCTTGCAATTCATTAAATTTTTAATTACTTGGCTGTTTTCTCGTTTTAAACCTAACGACTAAGTGACACATAAGATTCCGAGTAAAAAGAGGTAAAAACCAAGACTATTTCCGGGGATACGGTAATTGGACATCAAACAATTAAGGACGGTAAAATGTGCAAAAACGGGATTGATTCGTCAAGTGAGGACATTCGTCAAGGCATTTCCAGAGGTAATAAAGTCAAGCGAGAATAAGAAAGCCATTGATTGAATCAGTATATAATCTCAGGCCATAGTGCTTCAATAGAGAGAGAGACAATTCAGCACAGTGCTCAACTCGAAATTAGGAGCGTAGTAGACAGCTGGACCAAGGACTCGTCCAGGGGGCAAGTTACACAGGAAACCCTCCAAAACAGGAGGGAGGGGCGGTTAGCATCCCACAAATAAGGTCGCTTGTTGTGCAATCACAGTCTTGTTTAAATGAAATCAGAACAATGCACCGGGATGAGTGTATGAACAAAAATCCGCTACGCAAAACACTGTCCGTGAATATGTTGGGCGAATAAGATGATCGACAGAAGACGGAACCGGAGAAGCTGTTTGTTGGCAATGCACGAGGTTCAAGCAATGGGGTGGTGAAGACGTGGCTGCGTGTTTGTGCATCAAATTCGGGTAAAGTAAACAATCAGTTGATGACGAAAGAAATCAATAACTAAGAAGAAGCGAAGGCCAACAGGACAATGGGCAACCGATGTGCAGAGTAGACAAGGAGACAAAGGCAAAACAAATGATTCTGACGAAAAAAAATCACCACAAGCAATGTCGCTGGGCACAAATAAAATTGTTGCTGTATGAATTTTGAAACGCTTGCACTTTATTTTGAGTGGAACAGGTGCTGATTTCCGTTTATAAAATCCCAGTTCATGTATCACAGTACAAAAATATACAATGAAGAATGCACATCGTTTTCGTACTTGTGAAATATAAAACATCTCTGGAGGCCTGTCAGAAAAAAAGTATTCAAACAAGATCCACGAATTAAAGTATCCATTTCTTGTGGTTCATGCAATAGCCAGAACTAAATGCGACAAGTGGTTACGAAACATGACGCACTTTTGTATCACATTCAAGAATAACTTCAATAAGATCCATTCAGATCAGTTCGTCTTGTCATATTCTATTCATATAAAATTTTCTATTTCGCCACCCCATTCAATTGAGAGTCCATGGTTCTTCCTTTTTCGCAAATACTTTTCAAAAGTAGCTCATGGACTGCGAACCCGTTTGTTGGTTTGATTAACCTCAGGTTCCACAGGAGCCATATTTGGTATTCGCAGTCACGATGATATAGAAAGTTAATAATTCACCAAAATAATATGGTAATTGGACTTGCTTCAGCTTGCGTTGTACTTGACTAATAAACAACTGAGAGTTTGTGTGGCTACAAACACAGAAAGAAAATCTTTCTCGGAAATTCGTCTGTTTTGTGGTTAACGAAATGAGAAAAATGAATAACTAGGAAGCAATTTTGTTTCAAATGAAGAAAAATGAAAATAAATCTCTTAATTTCCTTGAGGAATGAGCACAAACATGGATGTGTTTGATTGGCGGAGGAATGTACGTATGCAATCTAAACGTCACGGGAAATGTACGAAATGAAAGACCACTAATGGAAATGGAAGTCTCACAAACACGGAAGCAACGGTTATGGCACAGAACTTGCATATTGAAAGGAGAAACTCAAACCAAGATATCTTGGAATTGTATATTACCCAGAGGTAAATAGTTGCCAACAAAGCAGGCGTGTTTGGGTGCATCACGTGGACAAGGCAAGGGAGGTGCCGCCTCCACATGCGTGTAGTCTGTCCAGCCACTTCCCTGATGATAATCCAGCCAGTGTTGAATATGTCCAAGAATATTATCTCCGTACAAACCACGCATTGCAAGACCGGGGTTGGGATACGTGGCCCCCCAAATTCCGTCCACATTGATTAAAGTTGGGTTTCGCAAACCGTACAAATATTCACGATGTAAGTTTCGCGGCTCCCCGTAAAGCTGTATTCGCCAATTGGTTGATTTCAGTGGATGATACATACACGATGTATTCGTCACCATGGCACACTTTTCTACATCTTCTTTGAATTCTGTATAGTATTCTGTATCACCCAGATAGCAATGATATTTCTGTTCCAGTTCAGTCTTTATTGGACCCTGAATGAGTTCATGCTTCCTGGCGTCCCATCCAAAATCACTATCGCGTTCCCATGGCAAGAATGCTCCGAGCAATTTAATCGAGGCGACCACATTGCCCGAGAATGTGCAGGTCCACACACCGTGAGCGGCAGCGAGATTCAAGAATGCCTTCGAACATCGGGCTAACTCTTCCAAGCAACACCCGGGCATCATTAGACCACCACGTTGAAAATGGTTGCAATTGATTTTCACTTCGTCGCACATCCACCGATGATCTCTTTGGCCCGGAAGGAGTAAACGATTCACAGTCCATTGACGAGCTAATTCAGTCCACTGATCTCGTTCGGTTTCACTCACACCCAGACCGCGGTGTGACTGGTGATTGGCCACATGGAATAGGACATCCACACATGCAACGGCCACACCGGCACGATCATGTTTATCGTTTGTGGGATGAGCCAACCGCAAGAACAAATCCACAAATGGCATCAGCGGTCCATCTAATACAGAATGTTTCATCTGCTCTAGGAAATATGCACGGCGAATCAGAAATGGCGAGGCCATGTAGTCACAGTAGGCGCACGATATGGCGGACAGATCATGACCCGGTTGAATGCGAATGGTGAAATTTTTCACAGCCGTCTGTGGAATT